CACACACACACACACACACACACACACACACACACACACACACACACACACACCTATGTGTTTCTACCAAACGCGCATACAGATATTACACAAATTAACCAAAATGCATTAAAGGGATCGTTTACTCTAGGTTCTAGTTAATTTAGGTTAAAATTACGCTACATAAAAAGTTTCATGGTTCAATCACCATTAGAAATATTATTAAATTTTTTTTAAGTTTTAAAACTAACGACTACAGTTTGATTACAACGACGGTGGCGCCACTCAATGCGCACGATCTGATAAGTTGCGCAAAACCACTTTTCAGCCAAGGGCTACAGACCGAGGGTGTTTCTTATTTATTAATTTAAAAGCAAAAGGATTGTAATATCTTATAAACGACATATCGTTTCAGTTATATTATGGATAAATTTGTCGTAAAATTAACATTGTTCGATTAAATAGCATTTAGGTACGAATATAATTGCACCTTTGTGATTAGCCCTCGGTCTGTAACGTGCAAAATAAATGGGCAAATACGCAAATTTTTCAGGGTGGCAGCACGGTCGCGGGTGTCATGGCGCCGTTCAAATTTCGTAGCGTTGATGTGTAATTAATTATAACAATTACATTAGGTATCTGGTGACAAATACGTGTGGGTATAGACGATTTGTTATACAGTAAGTACAGCTGTATGCAGTAAAATCCTAGAGTCTACTATCCCTTTAATTGGTCGTCAGCGGTGTGACATAACAATATGATCATGTTGTTTTCGCTCACAGTATGCTATTGGTTAGTGGATAAATCTTATTAGTTCCGGTGTGCTAACGGAAGCACTTCTCAGCTGATCCGCTGCGTGGCGCTGTCGCGCATGTTTGAGTAGCAAAATCACTTGGGTTTGTGACGTTGGTTCTCGGAAGTTTAAATACGTTTACTGATGTTGACCTATATAATTTGCTTGACGTGGTCGCAAGAACACATAATCGAGCTACAATTAGGGCTAATTGAAAAGCGACCCCTTTTACACCCTCGTAAAACCATTTAGACTTCATTCACCGCCGAAAGCGCTTTTGACTGGCAATCGAAAAGCCGAATAATGATAATTGAACACAAAGAGGATATTATTCCCTATGGCAACGTGTGCTGTTGGTGGGCGCGCGTGTGGCAGAGATGGGGGAGGGCGGGATGTGGCTTACGCTTTTGCCTCTAACGCAATCCGTTCGTACTCACTGCTTAAAAGGTATGCCCTATAACTACGTTATTCGATCGGCAGTAAATGCATAACATGCTCGTATGCTCGTCTGTGCAGTCATACGTTTAGTAGCATAAATGATCGCCTGATCTGTAGACCATTTGCTCCAGCCAGCCATTATTGCGCTTTCCCCTCGAGGGCAACGATGGCTGCCGATAGATTTCATGAGAACGTGGTCGCGTATCACTAGCAACTCCAAAATAGTAAATGCATATATAAGTCCAATAAAATGATCATTTAATACGTAATTTGAGTAAATCGAGAAAGTATTCACACATTGCAATTGTTTCGCAATACGATTTGTGTATAGTCCTAAACTAAACTACATCAGAAAGTCACGTCTGTATACGATGTGCAAATGTAATGATCACTCACACGTATATTTTGTTAAAATAATATCACAGTAGATATCATTGGGTGATGCGATAGCATGTGTATTTACTACAAGGTTTACAATTCATTCCCTCACAGCATGAATCTGTAGATGGGTTGCAAATGATCGAAACGGATGCAACTAGAATAGATTTACGGGCCTAGTCTCAATTCTACACGCACTGAAATAGATATACAATCAATAGAATATGATTATCAATGAAACATCAGCCATATGTATGTGTGTTTCATTAATTTAATAATTTTTCAATTTAAATAATTTATCAATTTCTTACGCTAGCATGATCTATACGTTATTGAAGTAATATGTACAGGTGGAGCTCGATCTCAGTAATTAAAGCATCCGATATCAATGGTCTTTTAAATCCTAGTGTACTGGTCACCGAATGTTCACCCATGTAGCTTTTTTACGTTTTGTTAAGAACATGCTGTGTTCTCGAGAGTATCACCTCCAACAGCTCAAAACTTGTTGTGATTACAAAATAAATATAGATCGCCAAACGAAGCCTACGCTGACTAACCAATAACGAATGAGTCATTGTGATGTCACATTGACAAACTTCCAGACAGTTCCGTTAACAGTTCCTGACCTTTCTTAATGAACCAGACAAAATGCATGTTAATTGCCACAGAATGACGATTTTAGAATATAATAATAAAATGTAACAAGAATGGAACCAACTGCAATCTTATTAGGGTGTAATCTTCGGAACTACATTCTATACGTGTATACGTAAATAACACAGTGATCCGAGCAAGACATTCGGCCTACAATATTATTCGCCAAAAGAGCAGCCTAGTCATGAATATGGACTAATGTGGGATCCACGCATCTTTCAATGTGTGCTGAGTGCATTATTGTAGCAAGATTTGGAATGTCCGCACATGTCCAGGTACATTTGAGCTTACATGTTCATGTTTATGTGTAATGAATGACTATATAAAAACAGAAGCTGAAAAGCAGAGGCTAAACTCTTATCGGTTAGAATCAACGTCACGAGTTATGATGTATTGCCATCATTAGGTCTGTTTGCGTTTTACCTTATCGGTTTTTCCGCAGACGCTGGGTATTGTCAACAATATTATTGGTTCAACGTCGGTAGTCGCGAATTGAAAAGCGTTCGCGGGAGAAGACTTAACCGCTCTCTCACACAGTCACACTCTTGTAGAAACTAACGTCGCTGTCGTCTGTGCAACCGGTGCCCTTGGACATCGCTTCACATATTCACCGAAAGATTATGACTGCGCTTTCCCCGTCCGCCGTAGAACCCGGAACCTCGCTTCCCCTCTTCCCCGGACTTCTTCCCGCGGCCTCCGTAGAACCCGCTTCTTTTCTCGTCAGCGTCGTCGGCGATGGCGACCATCGTCTCGCTTGCGTCGACGTCGTCTTTCTTGCCGCGACCGCCGAAGAAGCCGGCGCGTTTGTCGTCGGGGTAGAGCTTTTTGCCGCGGCCGCCGTAGAATCCCGAGCGCTTTGCGTCGTCGCCGCCGTCGAACTTTTTGCCGCGGCCGCCGAAGAAGGCTGCGCGCTTAGCGTCCTCAAGCTCCTCGTCGTTCAGCTCGGCGTCTGACTTCTTTCCTCGTCCGCCGAAGAACGCTGCCCGTTTCTCCGCGTCCAGTTCATCTTCGCTCGATTCTAGGTCGGATTTTTTCCCTCTTCCGCCGAAGAACGCCGCACGCTTCTCCGCTTCGGTCATGACCATTTCGGATTTTTTGCCGCGCCCGCCAAAGAAGGCGGCCCGTTTAGCGTCGTCGAGTTCTCCCTCTACGTCTTCCATCGTGCCGGTCTTCTTGCCCCTGCCTCCGAAAAACGCGGCCCGCTTGTCTGCCAGCATCTCGTATTTCTTGCCTCTGCCGCCGAAGAAGGCGGCGCGCTTGTCGCTCTCGGCGGTCATCTGGTCTATAAGGTCGGCCGGGGTCACGAACCTCTGCAGTTCGTCTGCAATCGAAAGATATACGCGCGTGGGAGCACGCGACGAATCATAGAACGAACGAGCCGCGTCGTCTAATCGATGTAGAGCTGAACCGATGTTACAACCCACTGTTATCAAAAATTTACAGTGGCGCGTCTATGGAAAACGCAAGCGGACAAACAACCAGCAAGTACATAAGCAAGCCCCACGTTCGCCAACACAAACACTCAAGCAAGCACCAAGTACGCAAATAACCCGCATGTTTGCAAACATACACGCAAGCCAGCAGCAACATGATGTTTGATTGCGGTCTTGCTGTTCGTTTTTGTACTTGCGCTTTCCTCATGCGGGCTACGGTCAAGAAACACTCTGGTTGCGTACTCAAGGAAATATGCATCCGATGTAACGACTCCAAATAAGTGTAACATGATATTGTTTTGGGATGTAATTTCCTGTTACATATCGCCTTCACGCTCATTAGCGATTAACGACGCCTGATCACATTTCCGATGCATCTGAGAGCGATGATCAGATAATGCCGGCAATAATACACAATAATGACGATCATAACGTGTTATCTTCCGCTAAAATTCGTCCCGTCAACCAAACTAGTTTATTATGAAAAGCGAAAAAATATGGGGCAGTGCTATAGCAGGTTTGGTTTACAGCAGCCCTTGATGGAAACGGATGTGTCGTGTGGGTATCTACGATGCAGACACGGGAACCTCGTGACTCGGAACTCACCTTGTTGGCCCGTATAGTCGTCCATGTCTGTGACCCGTGGGGTCGTCTGCTGGAGAACTTGCTGAAATAAAAGAATGAAGGCACGTCAGTAACATCGAAACCGCAACTTCGACATATACGATGCGTATAATTGTGGAACGGTAAAAATTAGTATGGAGCAAAAGTAATAAAAACCTTATTCAATCCTAATATTAATGCACACTATTCACATGGTAGACTAAACCATTATAGTATTAATCATTCTTCATAGTAACACTGAAATTGCTTAATTGGCCAGACCGTCACTGTCACTATGAAGCCCAGATGTTTTATACTTTAATGGGGTGAAATACTTAACAAAGAGTAAGTAGGGGAGCGATTCAGCAAGCAGGCTCATCTTATTCACGTTATAGAAAAGACATTTCCTACCGGAGATTTCAGTAGGGGCTAAGAAGGCACCGGGTTTTAATGAGGATAGCGGCATTGCTTTGTGATCATCAAGGAGAAACTTGCCCATGAAAATCCAACTGTAACTTTAACCTATAATTCGGCAGATTATCCATAAATGCGGAACATGTAAGGCTTCTATTTTGGCGAATGAAAGAAATATCATAAGGAACGTGTTAGCATAAAAAGATATATCAATAAGTAAGAATCGCTTAATCGTGACCGTTTAAGAGAAATAAAAATGATCATGAAACAAACGCATTAGAACGACTCGATATAAGCAAAATGAAGCTAACCTAGCTGCACTCAGGATATCTTGCTATAATGATGTCCGTATTATATAAGGTAAATGATACACAATTCAAGTGCAAAAAACAACAACATTTTTTTGTGGCAGATTGTACTATTGCTAATCAGCGCATTGACACGATATGCCCATAGCGCGTAAAGATAGTCGCTTAATTTGCGCTGCTATTAGTTTGTGGGCCTTTTTAATAGGTATTTGCAAATAAAATATTTCTCTCTTATGTAGTGAATTAAAATCATCTAAATTTCAGATGAGGTGATAATTTTTATCTACCCATTTTGTGAGAAATTACGACTTTTACAAAATATATATCCAGCATTCTCTATCGGACAAAATACATATGCCCGAATTTATTTATTTTTATTCGTCAATGCAAACGTAATTTCTTCAAGATGTGAGTTATGGTACGAGGTTTCGTAGTAACTACTTTAATTCCTTGCTAAGAACTAGCACCATTATTCCCAAGTTCTTGCCTAGCATCAGAAGTAGATAATAGGCTATTATCTACTTTTGCTAGCATGTAACTTATTTATGATAATAATTGAAGACCGTTATCCTTTGTAAAATAGCTTATTGTTTTTCAACATGAACTAGTTCTTTAGCGCAACGCTTTTTATGTACTTCAGTCGAAATGTGAACTTATATAACTGCGCGTATTTCGGACGTGCCATGTGTTAATATCAAGAGTAGATAATAACACTGTGTTATTATCCACTCTTGTTAATATTTAAAGCCGCTTAGTGCTCAGGTGGTAAGCAGCCGAGTGAAGGCTGCCCGCGACTTACGCACAAAAGCACACGACTGTCTAACCGAAAAGCAAAAATCCCGAGGCACTTATTCACTAAAGGCTAGCCGCGGATGACTTGATCGGTGCGATTAAGTGGAAACGGCGACGTTTTCGCGCCAATGAGACGCTATGTGAAACTGCTAGAAGCTTAGTGTTACTGCTTTACTAATTAATGATTCGAAATTGACGCGCCTGGAAGCGAGATGTTAACGCAGTATTTCCACGTATAAAGCTCACGCGGCTTCGAGTATAAAGAATGTGATTCCCAATTGTCAGCGCCACTTTACGGAGTCGGCCATCGCCAGCAGTAAAAACAAAAAACAAGATTCCGGAAATGCGGCGAGAACAGTCCGTACGGCCGAATGCAAAGGCATATCGTTTCATAATGAGGGCGCTACGTGGCACCGTAATGAATTCGAATGTCACCAATGTACAGACCTCCGTACACAGCCCCGTATACAGCTACAGTCCTGTACACAGCCCCGTACACAGCCCCATATACAGCCCCGTATACAGCTACAGCCCTGTACACAGCCCCGTACACAGCCCCATATACAGCTCTGTATACAGCTACAGCCCCGTACACAGCCCCGTACACAGCCCCATATACAGCTCCGTATACAGCCCCGTACACAGTACCGTATATAACCCTTATGTGTAGTGCCCTTATGTAGAACCCGTATAAACGTACCGAGCACAGTCCCAATGAGCAGCCCCTGTATATATATGCTGCACAGCAACAGGTGAAAATCATAGCCTATCATAACAAGACCAACGTATCCTATACGCGCCCCATTTCTCTAAAAGTCATATAGCTTTACTGTATATGACATAGTCGTCTTGTGGAGTTACGAGGCGCGTTTAACGGGTAACAGTACTTGCCCGTGCCGTCAGCAATATTTCTAGTCGCGGCATATTATAGCTACATCCGGAGTTATAACTGCGCAAATTGTCACACGGAAATCGAAGGAAACTGGAATTGAAACGTTGCGTGCGTATACCTTTCTGTCAAGGTATACGTGCGTGCCCAAGCGCTTGTGTGCTCACGTGTGCAATATTGTCAAGAGTACACAATGGGAGATTGGGGATATGGGGGATCTCTATTATGTACTCTTGATATTATCAATGTGCCATTTCTACTGTAAACTATGGCAACAGCCAACTGGCTTGTAGGTGTGTAGATACTATACACTAAATGCTAAACGTTATAGACTAAACACAACACGTTAAACGATACTACACTTATATGATTTGGATGTATTTATGCTAACACTATAGAAGCAATTCATTGAGTGTAGGTATCTATAAGTTGTAAAAATAGGGTGAAAAAATAACATAGGTCAAAATAATGGGAAATATAATTCCACTGCTATATTAAATGGCCGATATGTCAAAAACCGTTTAGTCTGCATAAGCTTGTTGTTTGTCAAAAGCCTCATTATTTAGTAGACAAACATGTCATGTAAACAAGATTGCAGTTACGATGCTTTAATAATGGTAAACGTGTTTTATTACCAAACGTAACACGTAATGGATGCAACCGGCATTGTTAACAATATAAGTGTGTAACTTTGCAAACACGCAATACTTGTGTGCCTGATGGTTTTCTGGTATAGTGCAAATTCAACAGAAATATGAAACCTTTGCACACGTGTACTACATAATTTTATGATCGAGATTTCCTATCATCGATCATCGAATCGATCATTCCATTAGATTTCAGGGTCGAACCTATCCCATATCGCTGCTATTTACTTTGTCCGCGCATAAACATCCACATTCGGACGATCAAATTTACATGCCAACGCCTAGTCCTGCACTCTCTTGGTCGCGGGCTGCCCGGTAAAGAGTACTGTTACATTACCTACCTGTGCATACCTATGCATGCTTAATCACATATTCAGTTCAGTGTGTGATCAGTTCAGCGCTACCTTTCCATGGGCTCTGACATTGTTACGGGATCGTAATGGCACCTACAGACACCCCTTTATAACCCCAGCGGTAGAGAGCCCGTCCATAGCAACAACGGAAACCTATATATATATATATATATATATATATATATTCACATAAAGCGTGCGTGTTTCGTTCGTGCAACGCGTGCATATGACTGACCGGCAATAGCATAACATCGCGTGCGATTAATTAATCATTACTGTAGTATTTACATGAGCCAGCTTCCGCTGGCTTTCACCTTCCGCTATGCGTGAGTAGGCCCTATACTACGGCAACTTTGCATGAATCTGGGGGTTGAACTGCATGGCTTCACCGCTGCCATCGTCTATACCGAGGTTTCGCATACACAGCGCCTCAATTGAATATAAAGCGACCGCACATTACACGCCTCGTGGCGATTCTGCGTAGACCCATTAGCCGGGTGATGCATGCTTCTAAACCCGCATCATGCATACTAGAAGATTTAGCGATCTATGGGCTCAGTGGGAATGAGAGCATATCAAGCTCCAGGGAGAACGGCACGCGGGTATCTTAGCAAATGCATCCGATACGGACGATGATGCGGCCTCTGTTTTTGTGCATTGGCCGCGAATAGGAATTAGAGCGTCTACGGGAATTAGAAAGCTAACGACGGTGAGACCTCGTATAGTATTAACGTCGGCTTGGCTCTCCTCGAAACACATCCGCGCACGCCGCAAGTCGCGGTGCGTGCGAGTAGCTATATAATTCCGATTGAATTGTAATGAGCTAATTGCAGCCGACTGGCCTTGTTTGCGCCAAGGCCGTTACGCGCTATGCGGTCATTAAATTCGTTATAATTAGAGCAACGCGATGTAAGAAGCATGGCTGACAGCGATGCGCGAGCTTACTGCGAGACGTCTAGTTCGTATACATTACATTAAAAGTAAAATGAATAGACGTGCTATATTCACTGGGGGGTTGGTGGAGTTTTCCAAACAATTTCTGTCATTTCAGATAGTCGAAGGCTAGAGCTGTTCGACAGCGTAGGCTGTGAGATAATGTAGTTGGCAATTAGTAAAGTTGTTTTGATAACATTGGTGAATACGAAATGTATAGAGAAATAAAAGTTGCACATTCCATGATTATAATATAAAGCTACAATATATGAAGTACAAAATACAAACTGCAGATGTTGATTTGCTATTATTGATGAAAAGCATATATATATATAAGCTGCGTTCACACGTATACACGGCCTAGCTGGTACCGTACTTAAGCTGCGCTCACACGTATACACGGCCTAGCTGGTACCGTACTTAGTTGGTGCTAAGTTCGGTTAAAACGCGTTCACACGAGTTACACGAGATTCGAGGCTTAGCTAGCCAGGAATAATATAGACTGGTACCCGGTCGACAGTTCCACACGCTACACTAACGTCCGTGCGCAGAAACGGTACACAGTCTAAGTGAGCAATACGCGGCCAGCGTGGCTGGCCTGAATATACGCGGCTTTAGTTGGCGCGAATATGATGCCGCGGCTTCGCAAAGCCGAAGCATTCGCGCTAAGCGAAAGCCGATGCTTAAGCAAGCCGCGTAATATTAGCGTGTGAACGCAACTTTTCTCC